AGACTTTTGTTCTGTATTTCCCAGTGGGTGAATTAGTGCAAGCTCTACAAATGGACCCAATGGAGTTCGAGGAGCAGTACAATCAAAAGATGCCATCCAAGTCGGACCCTGTGGTTTTCTCATGTTTGGCAGGAACAAGAAGTAAACAAGCACTTGCTTTTGCCATGTCCTTGGGTTTCAGCAGGTATGGCTTGTGTGTGTAAGGATGGGATTGATACTGCCTCCCCCCATGAAGCAGAACTTGTATTCAGCTTCTCGGGAGCTAGAGCAAAAATATACATGTGGAAAATGAACAAAACTACTGGTATTTAAGTTAGACACCACGTCTTGTCTCCACTGAACCCTGAAAGACACTGTTGGGTGCTCCAGAAAAGTGAGGCGTATTGACCTGTGAAACAACCCCTCAGGAGGCCTACGCATGTGCTGCAGGTGACACAATCTGCTGCAACACCATGCTGCCACTGAAGGGTCCATCCACCTCTTAGGGCTCCCTCGCCAAGATGTTGCATCCTTATACAGCTTCATAAGCACGAGTCCTGAGATGCAGGATGATCAGAAAGGTGGAGAACTGCTCACTTCGGTAGAAGTACAATCTTAAATTAGATTAAATAGTCTACAAAACCACACTCTTTGTTAAATTGCGGTTCTATCTGAACAGTTCACTGTTGACGAAGTATGCCTTCGCTTTCAGTAAAGCACTGGATTGTTTGCCAGGAGTTAAGCAGTGAAAGCAATAGATAAAAAGACAATGAGATTGATAGAGTGAAAGCAAAAGCAGCGTTTGGTTGGCAGAATTGCGACCCCTGTGCCAGAAGGTGCCTCACTGGCTTGAAGACTGCAGATATAATTTTAAAAATTTGTTTGTTTGTTGATGTTTTCGCTGAACTGCAATTCATGAACTGGAATATCCCTGCTAATTCTAGTCAAAAGTATGGAACCATGTTCTTGCTTTATAAATATATTGTTTTAATAAGTGCAAAATATCATACATTACCTGTTTTTCATGCTGCCTAATTGAAGGACTCAGTATTGTTTTGCATGGTGGATTTTTGTTTTCCAGAGTTCAGTTTTGTGCAGGCTTATGTCAGATCTACAGAGCATATAGGTTTGCAAGGAAGTAAAGATCAGTGTGCCACGTTTATTTGATGGCATCTGAAATATTAGACGTTAATAACATATAAATCTCTCACCACAGTGAGTCTGTTCTTTTTTAAAAAAAAAAAGTGGCAAACTGTTTCACTGATCTGTCTGCTACTACTTGCTTGATGTTTCATCTCCAGCAGTGTGTCATTTGTAAGAAAAGTTACAGAATGCACTGCATGGAGGCAGGCAGTATTTGAGTACAAGGAATGTTGATCTGGCTTGTTGAAGCTAGGTGCAAGTGTATTTAATTGCAGAGAATTTCTGTATGTTTTTTTTCTGATTTTTTTTTTGTTTGGTTTGGGTTTTTTTTGCCACATTCATGCTTCTTTGCACGTATCATGCTTAGATACTTTTTTCAAGAGTCCTCCTTAACATTGTATTTTCTCATATTTTCAGAGTTCAGCAATATGCTGGTGGCCTTGAGGATTGGGTAAAACATGAACCTCCAGAGAAAAAATGAAGATGGCTACCCCAACCCTTGCCCATCAAGGCTTCAGGATGGTTAGTAGGTTTCATAATTCAAACTACATGCATTCCACTTCCAGAATACAGCCCACTCCTGTTTTCTTGTGTAAATGGACATTCACCTTCAAATAGCTGCGTGTATCAACTGCTTGGTTTAAATTATATCTAAAGACTATGACATAAGCAGAGGATGTTAAATTCGTTCAGCCTTTCCCTTGGGCTATGTTTTTTGGTGAAAGTATGTGAAGAGAACCTAAGTGCTTATTATGTTTACCAAGATTTTTGTATGACGTGGGTTATGATTGTTTAAACTAAGGATGATAGGAAAAATAAAATCATCTTTTTCCAAATAACTGTGTTGGGTAGTTTGTTTAGAATAGTTAAACTGCAGATATTCTAATGGAATTGGGGTAACTGCGCTAAGCACTACTTCATGTGTAGCTAGAGTTTTAAAATATTTGCTTTGTTATCAAAGGGTACAAGTAGAGTACAAATTTTTAGGTTTGTACTATGTGATCATAAGGCCAAAACTTCACTACTGATCAGAAAATACAAAGGGAAACTGACCTGATGCTAGAATACTTGCTGTTCAAAATGTTATGTGATTCCTTATTTTAAAAGCATATCCATTTTTATACGCAGATCTGCTTCTGAGCACAAAATGCTATAGCATTCAGTCAACAACTTCTGTTCCCTCAGCAGCTCAGTATCAAGTAAGAACTTGCCTATATTTGAAGTTATTATTACAGAGATGTAATCATTTTAGGCTGGAAAATTTGAAGTGTCCAAGGAAGATACTAAACTCCCTTCCTTCTTGTATGTACGTTAATTTGCATGTCTTAAACTTTAAAAAAACAAACCAACCCATCCTATCCCCACCTATAAATTTCCATAGTTGTAATTTTAAGGATTTTTTTGTTTGTTTTTTTAATGCTATTGACAGCTCAGGGGAACTAGCAAAGGTGAATTGCCTTGGCACCTAAAAAAATTTAAGTCCTAGGACAGAAGTTCAGGACTCTGCAGGCTGGAAAAAGGAATTAAAATTTCTGTTTCTCCTCTAATCAGTATAGCAGGCAATGTGCACTTATCCTACAGCTCTTCCGTTCTGACAGTGCAGCCTGTATGGTGAGAAGTGCAATTCTCACTATCTTACTCCTGAAAGGTCTTTTTCAGACTGGATCAGGAGTAGTAACAGATGCCAATAGTTTTGTTTGATTTAGCCAAATCTTACGATCTACTATTTTGCCTGTTTAACATGACCTAAGCTGTCAGTTTCACAATGCTCTGGGCCTATAGTCAAAGGGGCAACTGAAACCCGTTGTTGGCTGTGTTGTGCCAGTCCTCACCAGGACTACTGATGCCTTTTGATCTAGATCATTAAGGCCAGCTTGTACAGAAAATTTGAGACACACTGAAAATATTTAGCTAAATGTGCAATTAATAATGCCTAGCCGTATTGACCAAGCCACCAAACTTCAGTATACAGATGAACAAAGCAAGGAGATCTAATCAACCAAACTTCATCACAATTTAGTAGTTAAGTGGCCAATGCTTCCTTTTGTAGCTATGTTAAAGCTGTTGGGAACATCTAAAACTACATAGCCACAAAAAATGAAGAACAAACAATTATATTGGGTCACAACAAGATCTGTCTAGCTCAGTATTTTCTGTTTGGCAACAACTAGTAATGAACACCTGAGGAAAAGCATAAAACAGGATAGGTCCAGAGAGATGCAATCCCCAGATTATTCTCATTTACAACTTAGGGTGCTTTGATACTTCCTTCAGGCTTTGCAAGTCTTGGTGTACTTGGGTATTTGTAAATTTTCAACACAAACTCACAGCAGGCTGCACTGGGTTTAACAATGCATTGTGAGGAGAAGTCTTTCCCTCTACTGCTTCTCAACTTGCCTTGTACTGTTTTCATTGGATGGTCTTCTTCTGTCACAAGTGATGAACAGTTGTCACATCATCAGTCTTCACACCACTCATAAATTTTCTATACATCTGCTATCTTTTCTGAGCTGAAGAGTTGTGGATTTAATTTCTTTTTTTAACAGGAAAGCCACTGTATACCTCTTTTTTTATTTTCATTAGTTTTTATTAGGCTTGGTAGATTTAGTGTTATGAGTCTTGGTAGTTTTTTGCAAGGTGTTTCTCAAACTATTTGTAGCTTGTCAAAGTTAAGGATCTTTTCTGTTCCTGCCTCAGTATCTTCTTTATGTGGATTTAACTGGCTTTTCTTTCAAATGGTGCTTTTTTAATTAAATAACTTGTCTGATCAGTTCAGTTTGCTTCCTCTTAGATTTTTCCTTGAGTCTTTTTGGCACAGGTGGCCCGTGTTTGCTTTGACACTCTGCTGTCACCTCTGACCATGTCATCCGTGACGACTTGCAGCTACTACTTCTTTTAATGAAATACCTCATTTTTATGCATTTCTCTCCTTTGAAATGAAGCACAGTAAAGGTGATTTTTTTTTTCTGCCTGGTTGGTAGCAAAGCTGTTGAATTCACATTATGCTCCATTTCCTGTTGTTCCAATTGACATCTTTCTTTTTACAATCATCATCACTGAATGCAGTTACCTTGACTGCACTTTATTGCCTTTCACTGTTTACACTGGAATCGGAGCTCCTAAAACTATCCTCACCTCCCTAGTAGAGAAATCACTTAAGATACTTCTATTTACTATCAAGAAGTGCCTGGTATTTTAGCTCTGAGGTTTGGGTCACATAGGCAATTTAGGTGTGAAGTAAAATCTGGAAAGGCTCTTGAGCAGCAAGAAAACTTTGAATCACTCCAGCCAGAATCCTTCATTAATTAATAGTGTGAAAGCCCTAATTTCAAAACATTAGCTTTCTTAGCAGATTACATGGTATATGCGAGAAGCCGGATGTTTACCTGAAGAACAGTTCCTGTTTAAGAACTCCACAGTGGTCAAGTTGCATTGATTTATTTCTACTCCCCAAGTCCACGTTACAAATAGCACATTTTAGACTTCAAGAAACAAAGGCAAATAGCCAAAATCCACTTCATCAATCAAGTGTCTAAAAAAGGTATGGATCAAATGGCAACAAAAGTAGCAAAGACCGAAATGTATATATTTTCTTTCTGGCCAAAGTGGTCGGGGCTTGTTTACCTAATGTTTTCCGAAAATAACCTGAACAGAAATAAATGCTAGTAGCCTACTGGGCTACATACAAACACACTTCTGTTTCACTGAATGACCAGCCAATTACAAAGACAGATATTTGCAAAACCAGTTTTTTTTTTAAGGGGCCAGTTTTTTTTAACCCAAGACACATCATAGAGGAAGGGTTTTCAAGAACTTCCCTCCAATATTTCAGACAAGTGAAATGTGTTGCTTTAGGAAGAAAAAATAGAGAACAATGTTACTGCACTTTAGTTTACAGTTCAGTTTTTGTACTTGGGCAAGTCTGCATGATCCTTCAAAATGAAGTTGTACAGAACTTAATTAGAAACAAAGTTATCTAAAAATCGAATGATTCGATTTAGGCCAATTCCTGACTTCAGTGGGACATCTGCCTGAGTAAGGAACGCAGGATATGGCCTTCTGTTTCAAGGAATCTCATTTTCTCCAGCACATAGTTAACTAAGGAATCCCATTTCAGTTATTCTAAAGAGTTGCTCCTAACATCACAATTAAAATTAGCCAGTATGAAGCTCACCGAAAGCTTGATCCTCTTAAATAAACTCTCTAATGAACCACACAAATACACACTAACAATGAAGGCAGACTAACAGTGTATACCTTTTGTACAAAAAAAAATCCTCCATAAAGAATAGCAATCATATCCAGATTTGTACTTGATTGTGAAATATTCCAATTGTACTATACAGTACGTTTACTTGCAAAAAAAAAAATCATAATATGTTGGTTTTTTTTAATTCCTAACACTTGAAACGTCTAAGAAAACTGCAGAATCACTATATATATTGCACTTCTCTGGTAAGCCGGGCTACTATGCTTCATGGCAAAAACATCCAAGTACATCTACTGAGTAAAACAGCGTTTTTCCAATTCAAAAACGGAACTGAATTTCTTTCCCACAGCTTTCATTAAAACTGTAACAATATTCTTTGCAGGCTCTCCTAGGCTTTGTTTCTGAAGGATTGCCGTGTTACTTGTTACAGAATCCATATTTATTTTTTAAAAAAAATCAACAAAACTCAAGGTAATGAAGAGATTTAACACACAGTGCACCGTCTTCCTTCAGTCACAAACAAAATGAAGACAACACAAGTCATTAATACAGTTACACTTAGGCTTCGGGTTACTGTTGCTTTAAAAATAGTTCACTTCAATGGCAAGTTACAGTATTCTCCAAGCAAACAGAACCAATAATGAACTCTTTGTTTTGAGTGGATAGTGTTAATCTTTTGCAGCTTGGTTTAACGTCAGATTCCTTACATTGAAAAAGATCTTCGTACATTTGCTCCAGCGTCAGAGAAAATGATGCAGTTTTAAAGAAAAAGCTTTCAAAATGCTTGACACAAACAAGCTATTTATTCTTCAAGTTCTTTGTCAAAGATGTTACTAAAACCTTCTGTCCATTTCATGAACACAGGAAAGATCCCAGGATGTCTTGATTCAAAGTGGTCCATAAAGAATTTCTTTGGAATGTCTTAAGACTGGCTATAACTAGAGTTCTGGCTACCATTTGGACCCTGTTCTCCTTCACTGTTTGGAAGAAAAAAACAAAAACATGTGTCTTCAAAAAGAAGCATCGTATTACATTTTTGTCTTTTTTTTTTTTTTAATTAAAAAATACGGTATTCTGAAAGTAGTAAAAACCTTTTGAAGGAAAATACTTCAACATACACGCAAATAGGTTAAGATATTCTGCTCAGTTTCATAAAAAATGCAAAGGTTATTCTCAGCATGCATAAATAACTTCAGCGTATTTATTTGAATAATAATTTCAATGTATCCCCATGCAGCTGCCTGCTGAAACTACTTCTGAAGTCGACATTTCAAAGTTCACATTACACAAACATGCACAGGAATTTGCATGTGCAGATTCCCAACAGTGATATTTAATCACGGTAATTAAAATACGACATCAAGCAGGCCCACTTCCAACGAACCAGGCCCAGCCACGGCGCCTCACACCGCCGTTCCTTACATGTGCTGAGCTGTATTGATCACATTCTAACCACATTAACGTTCTCCATAAAACAACGCACGTTCCGCTTCTCGCTCGCTCCCGAACAATCAGACTGGCTATTTATAATAAAAGTCTCCACTGTAAAAACACACGCTATCCCTCAAACGGAACATTTACTCATGCTTAAGATAGTAGCCCAGTTTTTCCATATGAAAGGTGGATTAAGGAGGTACAGTACCTGTTTGGAGGTGGTTTTGGTTTAGGCATTTTACTAAGAATAGTAGCCATCTCTTTCCTCTCATCAAAGTTCTTCCACTGCTCATACAGCTTCAGAATAACCCTGATTATTTCTAAAATCTGATTAAAAAGAAAAGAGATCCTGAGGTCAGACAGAATAGCGATTTTATCTTTGTCATAGTCAGTTTAAGTGTGTAATTAATTAAACATGCCCCAAACTGAAACTCAGCAGCACAATTTTCATATTATAAAACAGAGCTGTCTCACATTTAATCTGGTCTGGCAATCAACCATTTCTATAATTAGGGTTTTTTTATTTAATTGTGAATGGAAGCCCGAAGAGAACACTTTCCCTCCCATTCAACTGTATATACACCACTTCTGCCCTGGAAGCCGAACAGCTTTTTATTTATTTATTTGCTTATACTTGTGCCACTGGGAAAATACAGACTCCCGGTAGCAGGACTGCAGCTAGATGACCATGGATAAGAAATACAGTAACTGATGATTATCAATGTTCTATACACATCAGAGGCACAGTGTAGGGGAAAAAAAAAGAGCCCCAAACAACAAAACATTGGTCTGAATGCCTTCCCTCCAAGAAATAAAGAACCAAGGAGTATCTAAATGCTTCTTATTATATTCTCATTATTGCTATTCTTATTATACAAATATAATATTCTTATTATATACATATAATATATTCTTATTATATACATATAATTATATACATATTCTTATTATATACATATAATTATATACATATAATAAGAATGTAGAACTCTCATATACCACTTCTGGAAGCATAAGCAGACTCTAACAGTTTGGAGGTTTTCTATCTACTGCACCTCAGCTACCTTCATTTCCTATTAAATTTCTGTCCTAATATTCTATACAAAAGGTGGATAATGCTTGGTTTATAAATTGTTTCACCATTCACTAAATTAATAAAGTAGACTTCTCTTTTAATAAATGGACTTTGATTAGAAGTCTAGAACAATCTGTATCCTTGAAACAAAAGGCATAGTTGGCTAAGAGATCCACGGTGTTAGTATGAAAAATCAAGCTTAAATTGTATTGCTGGTATGAGAACAAGGACACTTGAACACTCAAACATCTTCAGTATCAAGCTCGTGGTAACGTTATCTGTCAAATACAGGCTGGTTCTCCTCTGCTGCCCATTTATTGTCACTCTGCTTTTGCATGCATGACAGCATAATAAACAGAGCTCTTGATTCACCATAGCATCCACACTGTGCTTAAATCTGAAGGTGAATCCTGGAACACAAATACGATGCCAGGATATCATCAGTGGGACAAAGGGCAATAACGAGAGCACAGAGGGCAATGGTATGTCTCATTAAATATACTATTTAATTCCAGATACTCAGTTTCAAAAAAGACAGACTGAAAAATATGTGCAGAGTTAAATAGCATGACAAGGGGAATGAGTACTAGTTTGGCTTGCTTGCTTGAGCTAAACAAAGGTTAAAAAAGTCAACCTAAAAAGTAAAAGAACTAGTGAAGCTGAAGAACATTATTGGTATGAGAACAACCGCACCTTAGAATCTGATAAATTTATGAAGGGGATTATTGGACATGGAATATGCAACAGAAGGGAACTCATCTGAGTGATCTCAGTGTCCCCCTGTTTAACACTCACTGAAGTCATAGCCCTAGTTTCACTGGGACAGAATCAATTTTCTGTTCAGAAAAGCTACCTTTCTAAAGTAAGCTGCATTTTAAGAAAACTGCAGCACCAGATTCCGTGAGAACAAAGTTGCTAAGACACTTTGTTTTCATTTGTAGCCAGCTGTGATATGCAGGTATCCATAGTGATCAAAGACTTTTCAGCTTGTTTTTGCTAGTGACCCAGGTGTCCAAGAATTAGAAGGGGAAGGGACATATTCCATACCCTGTAATGTCACGCCTACTATAACAGGAAAGTTTGTTGGGGACGGTCTCTCTTTCTCAATGGTCGCTGTCCCTGGAAGGTCTCGTCCATCATTCTGCTCCCAATGCCTACTCTGTCTCTTCTGGGATTGCGGTTTCGGGATTTTCCTGCTCTGAGACCGCCAGCCAGGAATGGGCTGGACATTGGTCAAGGGTTGGTGAGCAACTGCACTGTATATCACCTGTCTGCATATATTATTATTATCACTATTATTTTCCATTTGATTTCATTTCAATTATTAGATAGTTCTATCTCAGCCCACGGGTCCTCTTTCCTTTTCCCAGTTCCCCTCCTTGAGTGGGCGGGGGTCATTGGGTAACAGCTGGATATTGTTTAGCCCCAGATATGTGCTAAACGTAGACACCTGGTCATCCTGAAAGCATCAAGAATGCTTTACAATCTGCTATACTGCTTACATCTATAGAGAGAAAATAAGAACAGTATGTAGGCATGATGCTGAAAGGTGAATCAGAAAGTCACATGCACTAGAATTTAAAAGTCAAATTCGTGCTGGCAATATTGAATGACAAAACACACTGGGAATTCTTTTTCTGGCAAAGAATATTGGTTTTATATTTCTATCTGAAAAATGGCAACACCAGCAACACTTTGCCGCTATGCAATGGTTCTGTCTTGCCTTTCAGAGCAGAGTGGTAACTGAATGACCTGACATTGTCTCCCTCCCCAACAGATCTACCTAATTTCAACAGCACCTAACATATGACCACTGAATGAAGTTCAAATCAGTACTGCAGACATGCAAGACAGTAGTTTTAAAACCATGACCACCATTTCTGCTTAGTTTGTAACAGGTGGTAGGAGGAAAAAACAGAGTACCTTTTCCATATCAACAGATAGCTCAGCAAACCACTGCCTTGCATCCTTCTGCTGGACAACACAGGCCACGTGTAGGCAAGCTGCAAAGATCAGGTGACACAGATACTGAAGGAAGATCTACTCTCGATACAGTTAGAAACATTCTTACTTTTTGTAAATCAGATAAAACACTATGCAGTTCAACAGAGAAAACTCCAGATTAGTTATCTGATTTTTTCTTTAAGACTTGTTAAATTGCAAGTTCCACTGTCAGTGCTGTATGAAACGCAAACTGAAGCATCTTATGACAGCACTGTAAAGAACACTTGTCGATAGGACAGTGCTCAGAATACATCCATTGAAACACGACAAGACACATTACTTGTGTTACTTACCTAGAGCTATCATAAAAGGAGGGTACAGCAGACAAAGATCAGTTCTATATGTGTCATTCACTATCCTCCTGTGCAAAAAAGAACTTGTAAGCATCATCCTATTCACCTTTAGACTATATGACTTTAAAAACTGCTGTCAGTTTATAAATATTTTGCCAGTTGCCCAGACGGCAGAAGCAGTGAGGCTGCAGGGCAAAACAGCAAGGGAAGAAATCTCTTCCCTCGTAAAAATTCTTAGAGCCTTTGATGCATACCATGAAATAATTATCCCTGTTTCACAAATAAGTAAGGGCGAGCATAAAAGTAGTATTTTCACTGTCTTTCTGTATTTGAGAAACAGTTCAAGAATAAGAGTTCTGCTAACATAGCTAAAAAACCCTATATACTGCTTCTACCTCCTATTACAAGATACAATAAAAAGCCAACATTGACAGACAAAGATTACCTCTACTCAGTCACCGTTCCGTAGTGTAAAAAAAAATGTGCAATTAGAGTTAGCTTAAAAACAAAAATTAGATCACTACAAAGTAAAATCGTTACAGGGTTAAAGACAGAACAAGCTAAGTCAGGGACATGTACCTGCACAGGTTAACTAGGGCACCCTTTGTATTCAAATACGGCTAAGCCTGCTTTGACTTAATCACCTTTGAAGCATAACTGTTAAATACTTGCTTTCTTGATGAAAGGAGGCACTTCTGTTACCCATTGTCTTCCTTACCATGCGAGAGGTAGCAGCATGTCTTCTTGGCCCATATCTTGCACATATTGGAGCAAAGGTCTATAAGGATGATATACTATCAAACAGCAGTCCTAGGAAAAATGTCAACAGGATAAAAGTTAGATTACAATGCAGAATGTGTTGTCAGTTCACATTAAAAACATTTGGTTTACAAGTCAATTACTGATTTTTTTATTTTTTTTTAAGTAGCATTCTAACACCTAACCCTGCTCTAATGAGGGCAGTGCTCTCTCTAGAATACCGTTACATTGCATGGTTGCCAGTCTGTCAATGTCCTTCCCCAAGAGACAGAAAAAGCCACATCTGCAGCACACTGAAACCTCATTTGCTTACAAACCCGTAATTCCCACTTGGAAATACAAAACACTGCCAGAAAACAGTCTGTCACTAAATACCATACATGGAAAGCACGTCAAAATAATGGACACTGGTTTGGAAAGAAAGACAGAAAAAAGGACGGAAAGACGGAAAGACAAGACGGAAAGACAAGACGGAAAGACAAACACGGAAAGACAAAGACGGAAAGACAAAGACGGGGAAAAAAAAGACGGGGGAAAAA